AAAAAAAAAAAAAAAAAAAAAATGAAATTGCTAAACAAATGTTCCAACTTCACTTTGTGAATATAGTATAAAGGTTTTGTCTCCCAAATCCTTTTTGCTAATATAATATTTAAAAATTACTGGACTATAACAGGGAGCTATGTTTCTATATATATATACATGTAAATAATGATATTAACTCTTAATTCAAAAACAAATTTGTTAGCAAACTATCTTTATGTTACTTTGTCCAAACTTACACCATACACACACATATCACCAGATGTATTGTTCTAAACTATCTTTATGTTACTTTGTCCAAACTTACACCATACACACACATATCACCAGATGTATTATTCTAAACTATCTTTATGTTACTTTATCCAAACTTACACCATACACACACATATCACCAGATGTATTGTTCTAAACTATATGTCATTTTGTCTAAATGTACAACACCACATACACACACACATCACCATATGTATTGTTCTAAACTATATATTTTGTCTAAATGTACAACACCACATACACACACATCACCATATGTATTGTTCTAAACTATATATTACTTTGTCCAAACTTACACCATACACACACATATCACCAGATGTATTGTTCTAAACTATCTTTAATTCCACATACATTTGAACATGTTTGCTTCTTTGATGTCTGTAAAAAAATTTCTACCACTTTAAAAAACAGTACACAGGGTATGCTATTTTTGTACTTCAACATCTCACACAAATATCCACTAATACTATCTCTGAAATTTGCCAATTCAATTAAGGTATTTATTTTGGCACAAAAACATTTTAGTTTTTTTTTTTGTTCTATAGTTCTATATCTTGATTTACAGAATTCTGGTAACTTACACCTTTAATTTTTTGTAAACAATAATTCTAACTATCATGCTCTATTCCATATTTTGTCCAGTTTAGATTTAAACAGTTTTTTGCATATTTTATTTGGTTTACCATCTAATACAAAATCATCCTACTGGTCAGTTACTTTGAATGACTAATAAAGATGACCTAATCACTATCACATATGAAATTATATTTTTATAAAATGTATTTAGGGACAACAAGGGACCTATTGGCCCATCTTGCTGTCCCATCGACTAAACTTATTAAGAAAAAAAAAATTCTCAAATTATCATTCATATATTTATCAAGCATTTCCTTAAACTCACTTAAATTTACTGCCGCCACCACAACCGAAGGCAACCTATTCCAAAGGCCAACTACACGGTTAGAAAACAAAAACTGTCTTAGCTAAAGATAACCCCTACCCTGTCAAAATGTATTTTTGTGCCCCCTAGTCCTACCACTCACCATTAATTCCCTTAACAATCTTAAGCACATGAATCAGATTCCCTCTAACTTCTTTTTTCAGAGATCTTAACCTCACCATCTCAAGTATCATCCTAGTAGCCCTCCTCTGAAACCTTTCCAACAATTAAATGTCATTCTTAAAGTAAGGAGCCCAAGACTGGACACAATACTCCAAATGTGGCCTAATCAGTGATCTATATCCTTTTTAGACTTGTATTCAATATTTTTGTAGATACAACCTAAAATATCATTTGCCCAACAACTACACCAAGATCCTTTTGCTTCCATAACATTAACTTATTCCCATCCAAATTATGATAAATAAGAATTTATGTCAGTAACTTTGGTATCAAATTGTAGATAATAATTCAAATTTTAGTATTAAACATTAGTTAATTTTTTTAATTTAAAAGTATATATTAAAAAACCCACCAAAATATAGATTTCTTATGTCACGTGGTATGTAGAATGCAGTATTGGTTCAAATTAGATGTTTGTGATGTCCAAATACAAAGTCTACAGTTTCTCACAAATTAGGAACTCAAATTACTGATACTGACAAGCTATCACTACATTTACTGACTCAAACACAGTGGCTACACCCACCTCTTTCCATTTTTGGAAATACTTATGTACACCTTCTGTCATTGATGTGTGAATAACAAATTGAAAGCTCAGAATGTCCCCTTAGTGGCTTTCACAGCCTTTTTGAAATATTCAGGTGACAAAACCTTTTCTTTTTATGCTAGATTAAGCGGCAAGGTAAGACTTTAGTGAGCTCAAAATTTCATTTTTTTTTTTACCCAAATACGACTTAATTACTAAGCTTGATAAGTTATAGTGAAATTCTATGGTATTGATATAGTAATTTATGAATTTTGGTTATTTCAAAATGTATGTATAAAACTTATAAATTATTTCTTTTCACATCCTCCATGTGCAATATTTGATAAGGCTTAGCAACCTATGACAAGCACCAAATGAGTACAAAGTTCCTAACTAGAAGAGATAATTGTTTGTTATACTTTATTTACTGTTCTATATTTTAAGGAAAATAGGTTTAGAACTTATTTTTACATAGTAATAATGTATATACCTATATAATGTATTATAACTGAAATGTGACTTTACAAAATAATAGTTCACTAAAACAGCCAAGACAGGTAACTATGTGATGAAGGCCAGTTTTATATTATTGGATACAGTATCATGAGTGTCATTGTAACTTTTGTATTGTTAGCAAGGCATGGCTGAAAAGGCCAATATAATAAAAATAATACATATATATAAAATTCAATGACAAGGAACCCACTTTTGAGACTAATAATGGCTGGAGATGGCTTGAATGAGTAATGAAGAAAACTTAAACTTATATTAAAGTTTTTCGTCATTACCCATTCAAACCGTCTCCAGCCATCAATACATATATATATAAATGTATAATGTTATGAGATCTAAGCTACTTAGACTAAACATTTGTGTTTTCGTGTTATAATCTGTGGTCATTCTAAAATGAGAAAAGATAACTTACATTTATTTCCTAATTTTTTTATGGTGATTACAAGGTCAGTCAAATCGACTGAACTCGTACAAAAATTTGATAGTGAAAATAACAGATAAATAGTTTTTTCTTTAAAATGTTTAATAATTATTTAGAGGTTATAAAGATTTCGCATGTGAAATGTTAAAATTTCCTGTTGCATAAAAGTATTATTAATTTTATAATCAAAATTATTTTGGATGTTGGATAGTCAACATTCCAAAAGAAAAAAGGTACGAGGAAAGCATTACTTAAAAAAATATTTTAAATTAATAAAAACTGATATTTTGCATACAAAAACCTTGTAATGTTCACTGATGATCTCCAAAATTTCATGAAGATATGCTTACTAATTAAAAAGTTATAGCATGAAAACTATAACAAGCACAAAAAGGTTATGGGACTGAGCCATTACTGAAAGAGTTAGTATAATAAGCAAATTTTAAGTAATTTCTTGACCATAACTACATCTATGTCACTGAAGTACATTGAAAAGAGCAAAGGGCCTAAGATTGAACCCTGAGGTTCTCCCCCCCCCTTGTGACATTAATCCAGTTTGACTGAACTCCATTTATAACCTTCTGCTTTCTTCCATCCAGCCATTGTTCTATCCAATCAGCCAACGTATCCCCCACACCTAC